TGTAGACACTTATTTAAGGCCATCATTTGGTTCCCACACTTCTTTCCCCCAAATTGGATGATGCCAGGAGGATTTTAAAAATTAGGTTCTGAGCCATGAGCTAGTAGCTCACGCCTGTCATCCTAGCTCTTCAGGAGGTGGAGATCTGAGGATCACATTTCAAAGACAGGCCCAGGCAGGGGAAAAAAAAAAAATCCACAAGGCTCTTATTTCCAATGAACCACCACCGAAAAGCTGGAAGTGGAGGCGTGACTCAAGCAGCTGAGCACCAGCCCTGAGCGGAAGAGTAAGTGTGCAGGCCCTGGGTTCGAAGCCCCAGTACAAGCGAAATAATAGCTCACTTAAATGAAATGAAGAAGCAGCCCCAGCAAAAACTGAGATCAGAACAGATTTTTTTTTTTAAACATGTCCAAGTTGTATTTGTTTTCCAAACAAGAAAATGATGTTCATAGAAAACAGATTAAAAACAGAACAACAAAAAAATCAGAACACACAACACACAAAAGCACAACACACCCAGGCCAGGGCCAGCCCTCCCCAACCCGTTTCCCCCCCCAGGTGTAAAACTTGTTTTTATTGAACCTTATTACAGGTGTCCCCAAAGATTAGACTGGTTTGGTGAGGTCAGAGGTCACAGCAGGGTTTATAAAGGTCGGTACGCAGGTCCCCGGGAGTCACCCGGGAGTCAGAGTGGGGAACCGACCCTCCACCACCTCCCCAACTGCAAGGCTTTTTTTCTCTTTTTTGCAAGAGTCAGTGATTTCACCTCAGGTTTTTCTAGAACCTTCCATGTCAGCTGGCTCCCCTCCCCCGTGGTCCGCTTGGAACATTTGCTTTTGTGTGAAGAGGATAGAAAGCCAAGATGCTTTCATTAAGGCACAGGCAGATGGTTGTAGGGGTCATCTCGGTAGGAACTTGGGGGGGTGGGGGGCTAAGGAGGGCAGGAGTCTGCGTGTTCCTGAGCCGGTTTACTCCGGAGGGGGGCGAAGGAGGGGGGCAGTGGTGGGGGTATCATCACCTCTCCATCTTTGTTGTTTTTGTTTTTTCCTTACAGTCCTGGGGTTTGAACTCAGGGCCCTGGGTGCTGTCCCTGAGCTTCTTTTGCTCAAGGCTAGCGCTCTACCACTTGAACCACAGCGCCACTTCTGGCTTTTTCTGTGTCTGTGGTGCTGGGGAATCGAACCCAGGGCCTCAAGCGTGCTAGGCGAGCGCTCTACCTCTGAGCCACAGGCCCAGCCCCTCTCAATCCCTTTTTTTGCCTCTCATTTGCTGAGTCTTAGCTCCGCCCCATTTTCCCCTGGAGCAGGCTGGCCAGGGACTCCCTGGGGAGCAGGTGGCCATGGGTTACCCCGGCCCCCCCCAGGGAGTGGGCAGGGGTGGGCGGAGCCATTTTGCCCACGTTCAGAACCCACAAGTTGGTTGAGTTGCTAATGTAGAGTGAGTTCAAAGCACTTGGAAGATTCTAGGCCAGGAAAGAATCGGTTTGGACCTCCAGAGATCCAAGCTAACAGGCTGGCCAGGAAAGCCCAGGAGAAGCCGGGTGCTGGTGGCTCACGCCTGTCACCCTAGCTACTCAGGGGGCTGAGATCTGAGGATCGGGGTTCAAAGCCGGCCAGGGGCAGGAAAAAGTCCGTGAGACTCTTCTCTCCAGTGAACCACCAGCAAACCAGGAGTGGTGCTGTGGTTTAAAGTGGTAGAGCACCTGCCTTGCATGAAAAAGAACTCAGGGATAGTGCCCAGGCCCTGAGTTCAAGTCCCACTACCACCACCCCCAACAACAACAAAAGAAAGCCCAGTAGATCCCATGCTTAAGCTCCGTTACCCTCTCTAGTTACCACGTGTGTCCTGAGCTGGGAGTGGGGGGCACATCTTCTTTGGTCAGCCTCCCAGGACCCCACAGCTGGTGGCTTGTAGAATGGCTCTTCGTATTTTTTATGGTGTGGTTATTTCAGATCCTTAACACATGGATGATCTGGCTTCTGGTATCTTCTACCATCTTTTACTGAGCACCTACCATGAGCTAGCCTAGGACCTGACCCGAGGTCGAGCAAGCAGGGTTTCTAGCCCCGCTGTCTCCTCCAACGTGAGGCCTTTGTGGGCTTTGATGGAGGTCCTGGTTTTGAACCCAGAGCACAGACCCATACTGGTGAGGGACCGCCCGATCGATCCTTACCAGTATGTGGGCCGTGGAGCTCAATCCCAAGAGTCTCACTCTAGAATGAGCTGCGAGGTGCTGCTAGTGCACACCTGTAATCCCAGCTACTCAGGAGGCTGAGAAGGAAGGATCATGGCCTGAGGTCAGCCTGGACAGCGACGTCCGTGGGACTCTTATTTCCAATTGGCCAACCACAAGCCCGAAGCGGAGGTATGGCTACAGAGCTGAGTTTTGAGCAAAGACAGTGTCCGAGGCCCTGAGTTCAAGTCCCAGTACCAGCACAACACAAAGGAGCTCCCTGGGCCTTCAAGCCTGCTGTTTTCCAGGGTGCTCTGAGTGGACAGGAACAAGACAACAAACGGGGTATCTTCTGGTCTCCCCGATTCTGCCCTTGAGGTGGTGGCCACAGAGCTCAGGAAGGTAGGATGAGGTCCCCAGCCCCTCGGGAGGGCACCCCATCTAACAGAAAACATGGGGCTGCAGCTACCACTTAACCCAGCTTGGAAAGGTCATTTGGTCCCTCCAGGGGGCGTAGAGAACCTTCCACACAGGTACAGGCCCCCAGTGTCTAGAAACCGTCCTGCTGGCACACCCTGGTGTGGCAACCTAGGGTTACTATTGGCAGTGTTTTCTAGGCACCACAGGACAGAGTCTTAGAGGCGGAGGGTTTTAGATGGGGTCCTGAGGCCTTGTAAGACCTGCCTCGGGGTTTGACGCATGCTCGGATGGTAAGGCACTTAGTTAGGTGCAAATAAGACACTGGTTCCTTTGTCTGTCCTGCCTGCTTCCCCAGAACCAAGCTGTTGCTTGAACCTTACCCAGGGCTGCAGCAGGAGATGGAGGACTTTTCCCACCCCAGGCTTCTGCTCTTTTCGGCTTGTCCCCAGGACTATGTCTGGTCCACTCTCCCCAAGGGCCCTCAGTCAGTGACAGCAATGGAATGGTCAGCCTGAGGCCAAAGCCTTGGGGAGGAGCCACGGCCCTTTGCCTTGGCAAACATTGAGAGGCCGGTAGCTTCTTAGAAGATTCAGCTACCAGCCGGGCACTGGTGCTGACGCCTGTAATCCTAACGATTCAGGAAGCTGAGGGCTGAGGATCACGGTTGGAAGCCAGCCCCAAGCAGGCAAGTCCGTGAGACTCTTCTCTCCAATCAACCAGCCAAAAACCAAAAAGCCAGGAGTTGGGGGGCATGGCTCAAGGTGGTAGAGCGCCAGCCATCCGAGAGAAAAGCCAAGGGGAGTCCTGAGTTCAAGTCCCAGTACTGGCACCAAAAAAATAAAATTCAGCTACAAAGTTAAAAGGAGATCATCTTTCCTGAATTCACCAGGGAAAATCGAGCGATGGAAGGTTCTAGGTGGGGTGAACACCAGGTCAGAACACGGTGACACTTACAGCAAGAGAATCATTTGGCTGGAGACCATCCCAGGGTGAGGGGCCTAGTGGGGCTTGACCTTGGAAGGGGTTGCACCCTGCAAAATGATTTATTACTTGAATCCATAACCCCCTGAGAATTTTCCTCCCCCCTCCCCCCCTTCTTTTTCTCATCTCCGAGCAAAGATGGGTGAATTGACTGTGAGCAAAAACAAAAAAAACAAAAAAAAACGAACACAAAAACAAGTGTTCTTATTTCTGCTCTGATCCAATGGAATGGAAAAACAGAGAGGCCAAGGAACTCCCTTAAATGGATCAGCAGGGAGTGGGGAGCTGGTGGCTCGTGCCTGCCATCATCCTAGCTACTCAGGAGGCTGAGATCTGAGGACCCCAGTTTGAAGCCAGCCTGGGGGCAGGAAAGGCTGGCAGACTCATCTCCAATTTAACCACTAGAAAACCCGAAGTAGCAGCTGTGGCTCAAAGTGGGAGAGCCTTGGAGTTGAGGAAAAATAGCCCAGGGACAGAGCCAGGAACAGCAGGGGGTAGGAAGAGGTGGAGCTCTTTAAGGGGCTCCAGCCAATGAGGAACGAGGCAGTGGGTGGCCAGGCCAGGGTCCTGGGACAAGCCAGCCAATAGGCGCAGGGGAGGGGAGGAGCCCCAGAGCCTTCACACACTTAGCAACCAATCAGCTCAGGCCTGTCATCCTAGCTACTCAGGAGCCTGAGGTCTGAGGATGGTGGTTCAAAGCCAGCCTGGGCAGGAAAGTCTGTGAGCCTCTTACCTGCTGTGAACCACCCCCAAAAAGCTGAAAGTGGATCTGTGGTTCAAGTGGTAGAGTGAGCAAAAAAAAAGAACAAAGAAAGCTCAGGAACAGTGCCCAGGCCCTGAGTTCAAGCCCCAGGACACACACACACACACACACACACACACACACACGCGCGCGCGCGCCATCAGCATGGGGTAGGGTCTGGAATACTGGAATCAAATGATTTGATGGATCATGATGGGGGGGGTTCTCCTGGGAACACCCTCAGTCCTCCTGTTCTTTGGGGAGCCCCCACAGATGAACGCAGCTTTTTATCGGGGCTCTGCAAGTGGCCTCTGTCCAGCCCAAGTCTTGGTCAGCCACCTGCTTCCCTCCCCCAGGAAAAGAGGAGGGCTCTGGCCTTTTTAGCTGGAGAGCAAGAGAGCCCTTCGGGCAGGCCTGCAGCACCGAGGGGGCGGGGCTGGGGGCGGGGCCGGGAGGAGGAGGGCCCCCGTGGCCCGTCCTGGGGGGTGAACCAGCCATCAACACAAGCCTCCAAGTCTGAGTAAGAACTGAAAATAGCCAGTTGTTCTCCGCCCATTCGGAGCTGTAAACAATGAGTTATTTTTTGCCTTCTCTTTAGAGACAATCTGCCTGCCCCCCCCACCCCCAATCTGCCCCCCTTGTGTCCCCCCTACACCATCCAAGGGAGTTCTGGGTAGGTTCAGGCCTTGTACATTCAACCCCCCCCTCCCCAAAACCTAGCGTTATCTCGGAAAACCACATCCCAGAAAGTGAGCAGGTTGCTGCTGCTGCTGTTTTCTAGTGGTGTCAACATCTGGAGTCTGGCTTGTGCATTCCAGCGAGGGAACAGCTGGAGCCCCGCATCTCTGCCCCTTCCTCCTTCTGCTCCCACTCCACTTCAGAAAGAAGCATTTGCACAGATGAGAGGACGCTGTCTCCCCAAAGTGGGCCTTTTGGGGTGTGTGTGTGTGTGTGTGTGTGTGTGTGTGTGCGTGCGCAAAGCACTTAGGAGCCACAAGCAATCCTTGCCTGGCCTGAGCTCCCCGGGGCCTCGCCTCTGCACCTGCCACTGCTGTGTCCGGCCCAGGAGAGCTGGCTTGTGCCCTCTGCGCTCCTTGGCGACCAGGGGTGTCCTCTTCCCAGCGGTGAGCTTGCTGGTGGCCGGGCTAGGGCCTGTAGATCTTGATGACGTCTTTGATGGGCCGCCGGCAGATGGGGCAGCAGGCCCGCGCCTGCCTCTTGAGCCGCAGGCCGCAGCTGTGGCACAAGCACATGTGTCCACACGTGTAGATGACCGTGTCCACCTCGCCGTCGAAGCACACGGTGCACTCGCCGTTCTTGCTGGCCGCGGGCTCGGGTAGGGAGAAGGCTGGGGACACCAGGGGACTCAGTGGGGAGCTGGGGGCTGTCACTGCCAAAAGGGAAGACACCACACCCCTTAATGCATGAATGGTGGAGCTACCAGGTGCATTCTCTTTCTTCTTCTTCTTCTTCTTTTTTTATTTCCTGCCAGTCCTGGGGCTTGAACTCAGGGCCTGGGCGCTGACCCTGAACTCTTGCTCAAGGCTAGCACTCTACCATTTATGCCACAGGGCCACTTCTGGCTTTTTCTGTGTATGTGGTACTGAGGAATGGAACCCAGGGCTTTGTGCATGCTAGGCCAGCACTCTACCACTAAGCTACATTCCCAGCCCCACCAGATTTTCTGCGCGACTCTGAGAAGGTGTCACTTCTAGAGAAACTGGTGTTTTGGGGTGAGGGATCTGAGGAGATGCCAACTGTAGTTTAACTTTTTTTCTTTTTTTAATGTGGATTCTGGGACTTGAACTCAGGGACCTGGATGCTGTCCTTTAGCTTTCTCACTCAAGGCTGATGCTCTACCACTCGAGCCACAGCTCCATTTCTGGTATCTCTTTTGGTGGCTCATTGGACATAAGTCTCACATTTCCAAGGCTGGTTTTGAATCTAGATCCTCAGATCTCATTCTCTTGAGTAGTTAGGATGACAAGCATGAGCCACCAGCTCCCTGCTTGGCTTAACTTTTTTTTTGGGGGGGTCTGGTTGTGGGGCCTGAACTCTGGGCCTGGGCGCTGTCCCTCAGCATTTCAGCTCAAGGCTAGCGCTCTACCACTTGAGCCACAGCACCACTTCCAGCTTTTTTTCTTTTTGCTTATGTGGTGCTGGGAAATCGAACCCAGGGCCTCAGGCATGCAAGGCAAGCGCTCTACCACTGAGCCACCTTCCCAATCCCATTGGCTTAACTTTTTGAAACAGGTTTTGTGCCTGGTGCTGGTGGCTCATGCCTATCATCCTAGCTACTCAGGAGGCTGAGATCTGAGGATTGAGGTTTGAAGCCAATGGCAAGAAAGGCTGTGAGATTCTGATCTTAAGCATAACAGTTCAAGGATAATACCCAGGCCCAGAGTTCCAGCCTCAGGACTGGTGCGCGCACGCACGCACACACACACACACACACACGCACACACACACACACACACACACATTTTTGTATCTTTCTTCCTTTGGTATGCCATGTCTTTTGTGTTTCCACCGCTCCCTGGGTAGAGAGGAGGCCAGGCATCGATGCTGGCATGCGTCAGGCCTACCCCAGGTCCCCGAGCCCTTGCTGGGGTCCCCTTTTCCTTACCCAGGGATGACTCTGACTCAGAGGAGGACTGATTGACACTGAAGGCCATGTCGGAATCGCTATCGTCCTGGGAGCCGCTGAGGGATCCGGATGGAGTCGTGGTTGCAGGACTGGACTGTAGCGTACCTGGGACACAAGGAGCCTCCGTCAGGGGCAGCAAGAAACTGGCTTGGGTGCCATTTTGCACCTCAGTTTCCCCATCTGTCCAGTGAGAGGACATGAGTCACCTCCCAGGGTTCTGTGGAGGACCAAGGAGCCCGTACAAGTCATTGTTTCTGCATCTGGTCTCCACCCCAGTGAGAACTTCCACGCCTTAACACCACTATAGTGGTCCAAGGAGGAGCCTGAATCTAAGGAAGCCCATTGAGGTCAATTCTATAATGTCCAGTAGCACAATCGGGACCCATTCCCCTGGGAGGCGGGAGCCACCCCAGTGGGTGGCCTGCCGGCCTACCTGAGCGTGCAGCCAACACAGGGCTAACTTGAGTGTGGAGACTGAGAGCTAGGCGTCTCATGCTATCAACACCTAGATCCAGCTGTTCCTGAATCCCTTCAATACACTTCCAGACTTCTGAAGTTCTAGTTGCTTAGGACACTGGGTATCTCCTCCTCCTCCTCCTCCTCCTTCCTTCTTTTTTGGGCATAACTCCCTGATCCTGGACTGCTAGTATAGTCCATATTGAAGGAGTTTTCTTTCTCAAGCTCTTGTGATGAGTTCAGGCCCTAACAGCTTCTTGCTTAGCATGAAGACAGCTGCATCTCTTTTAGGTTACCGAGGAAGGATGGTGGTCAGAGAATGGGGTGCAGGGTGGCTCTGAGATTCAGGATCAAATGAACAGCTTTCTGGTCTTCAAAAGCAAGGATTTTCCTTCTTTTTCTTCCTGACCATTTGAATCTCTTTCTCTTACTCAGGGAGCGCAGGGGTGGGGTTGGGTGAGGAAAGGTTATAGACTTAGTTTCTGCAAAGCTGAAATTGTGGCTGTGCCTGATCGTTCTCCAGACACCCCAAACCAATATATAAGAAGAACCCAGCAGATAACCACCCCTGACACCCTGTTCCTCCTCAGCCTGTGTCAGATGCCCAGTGGCTGCTTTAACTATGGTTAGCACGCCCAGGAGAAACTGAGGCTCAGGAGGGTCTGGGATTTGTGTCACATCCCCATGGCTAACCAGCTATGGATGCGATTCTGGATTGTCACACAATCAGATTTTTAACTGTCTGTGGATAGGAAGAATGACATCAATCTCCTTGGGAGCATACAAGGAGAGGAGGCAATGCATGAAGTGTTGGCCATTTTTGCTAATAGCTGGGCCTTGTCTTGGGGACCCTGACAGGAGATCTGTGCTCTCTGGGATGACTCATGCCCCACAGCTGGAGGAGAAGGTTGGCACGGCGGCCCTACCCGGCGTCTATGAATTCCTTCCATAGAAAGGTGGGGGCCCTATTCTTGGTATTAAGAGCCAAGGGAGAGTCCTATCAAAATGGGATGGCTCAAGGCTCCACGATGATATTTCGATTCTTTTTTGCATCTGCCATTGAATTTACTTCCTACGCTTGATATTATGCATTGCATCTGAATACAGCAAACTGTAACAAGGGGAGTAATCGTGGCGTTCTCCGCCACCCCCTCCCATTTACAGACAGCCTTTCTAGATTGGTGGTTTACTAAGTGTGGCATATGAAGCGCCAGTATCTTGGGGCACCCGGGGTTGCGTGAGTGACAGGTGCTGGAGGCTGAGACCCTCAGGCCTGGGGGAGAGACTTGAATAGAGGCAGGGTCTGGAATGGAGAAGTGTGCAGAGGGGCGGAGGTGGGGGCTGGATGGGGGCGGTACCAGGATGAGGAGGGGTGGAGTCTTCGGCGGGGCAGGGCCAGGCAGGGGCGGGGCCTGTGGAGGGCCAATGATGGGGTGTGTAGGGAACGCGGAGGGGCAGGACCAGGGTTGAATCTATAGGAAGGCATGATGTGGGCGGGGCCTGGGGTGGAGAGGGAGGGGCAGGGTCTTCTTCGGGGTGCAGGGGGGCGGGGTCTGTGGCAGGGCCGGGTTACACCGGGTGTGACTTCTGCAGGGGTGTGGGGGCCTATAGTGCGATGAACTCTAGCATGGGGTGGGGCACGAGGAGGGGCGGGGCATGGTCGGGAGAGGGGCGTGGCCTAGTGTGAGATGAGGCCTGGGTGGCAAGGGGGGAAAAGGGGCGTGGCCTAGAGTAAGAGGAGGCCTGGTACGGGGTGGGGCATGGAGAGGAAAAGGGGCGTGGCCTAGAGTAAGAGATCTGGTATGGGGCGGGGCATGGTGGGGAGAGGGGCGTGGCCTAATGTGAGATGATGCTTGGGTGGCATAGGGAGGAAAGGGGCGTGGCCTAGAGAGGAGGCCTGGCATGGGGCGGGGCATGGAGAGGAAAAGGGGCGTGGCCTAGAGTCAGATAAGGGCCGGTGTGGGGCGGGGCATGCTGGGGAGAGGGGCGTGGCCTAGCGGAGGCCTGGCACGGGGCGGGGCATGGAGTAGAAAAGGGGCGGGGCCTAGAGTGCGATGAGACCTGGCGTGGGGCGGGGCGTGAGGAGAGGCGAGGCGTGGGGGGGGGGGGGGGGTCCCGCGCAGGCGCAGCGGGGCAGGACTCACCGAGGAGGCGCAGCTGGCCCGCGGCGCCGCCGCGCACGGCGAAGAAGGCCCAGAGCGCCTGCGAGGTGTCCACGCACAGCAGGCGGCCGCGCGGGCGCCCGTTGACGCCGAGCAGCACGTCGCCGCCGGGGCGCAGCGTGAAGCTGAGCGCGTCGCCGCCGCAGGGCACGGGCCCGGCGCGCGCCACCACCCAGTACTCCTTGCGGTCGAGCAGCGCGTCGGGGTCGGCGGGCAGCTCGGCGGGCCGCAGCGCGCCGGGGTCGCACGAGGTGATGCCGAAGGCCACGGCGCCGGGCGCCGCCAGCCCCGCGCGCCCCACTTCCACGCAGAGGCTCTCGCCGGGCCGCAGCGGGCGCTCGCAGAACACGAGCGTGCGGCCGCCGTCGGGCCGCGGCGCGCACGCCAGCTTGCGGTCGGCCGACAGGCTCACGTCGGGCCCGCGCGTGGCGTGGAAGCGCAGGTCGGCGTCGAGCAGCGCGGGCGAGGACGCGGGCCGCGGGCGCTCGCGGGGCCCGCACGGGATGGCGGGGGCCGGCGGGCCCGCGGCGCGGCCCAGCGCCAGCTGCCCCAGCTTGGCCACCACCTGGCTGTTCTCCAGCTCGTTGTTGTCGAAGTTGGCGGCGTCGTGGCTGCCGGGCGGCGGGCAGGCGCTGAAGCGGGCCTGGCCCAGGCGCGCGGGCGGCAGCGTGTCGGCGAAGGCGCTCTCTGCGGGACGGGGGGGGGGGGGGGGACGGGGTGACAGGTGAGGATCGGGGGGTGGGGGGAGGATCGGGGCTTCGCGCGCCCTCCCGCACCCCGGCAGGGACCCCGCCTCCCCGCACTTCCGGGACCGGCACCCCCTCCCTCCTCTCAGCGCCCCTCCATCCCGCCACTTCCGGGGCAGTGACCCTCCCACCCTGCAGTGGTTCCCACCTCCCCACACTTCCGGTGTAGTGACCCCCCACCTCTGGGTTCCCATGCACTTCCGGTACTGACCCCCCCCCCCCGCCGTGGTTCCCACCTCCCCACACTTCCGGTGTAGTGATGACTCCCCACTTCCGGCACAGTGATCCCCCCCACCCTGCAGTGGTTCCCACCTCCCCACATTTCCGGTGTGGTGACCCCCCCACCTCTGGGTTCCCATGCACTTCCGGTGTGGTGACCCCCCCCCTCTGGCGCAGTGACCTCACCCTGCGGTGGGGTGCACTGGTTCCCACCTCCCTGCACTTCTGGCGCAGTGACCTCCCACCTCTGGGTTCCCATGCACTTCTGGCGCAGTGACCAGTGGTTCCCACCTCCCTGCACTTCCGGTGCAGTGATTCCCCCCACCTCTGGGTTCCCATGCACTTCCGGCGCAGTGATCCCCCCCACCTCTGGGTTCCCCGCCACCCCTGCACTTCTAGTACAATGACCCCACTTCTCAGTCTCCCCCCTCCCCTTCCCCTGCCCTTCTGGTGCAGTGACCCCCGCCTCTCGGTCCCCCTCCTGCACTGCACCTCCGGTGCTGACACTCCCCCCCCCTTCACCTCCTGCCCCCCCCCCCCACCCTTCCTGCACGTCTTGTGCAGTGCTGGACCTGGGGCTGGAACTCAGGGCCTCGCGCTTTTGCTTAGCATTGGAAGGCCTAAGGCTGGTGCTCTACACTTGGGCCACACCTCCACCTCCAACTTTTGTTGGTTAATTGGGGATACAAATTTCACAGACTCAAATCCAGGCTGGGATTTGAACCTGGATATTCAGTCCCCTGAGTGGCTAGGATGACAGGCCACTGGATGGTGTAAAATGTTCTTGATATGATTGTGGTGTTTTTGTCTCATTTTGTTTTTTGGTCAGGCCCGGTGCAAGTGGCTCACCCGTCATCCTGTCTGCTCAGGAGGCTGAGATACGAAGATCTCAATTTGAAGCCAGGGCTGGCAGGAAAGTCTGAGAGTCTTTATTTCCAGTTAACCACTAGAAAACCAGAAGTGGGCACCATGGCTGAAAGTGGTAGAGCTCTAGCCTTGAGCCCAAAAGCTCAGTGACTGCAGCCAGGGTTGTGAGTTCACGCCCCAGGGCCGACACACACACACACACACACACAGCAAAATACTTGTTAGTTTGATAGTGCAGATCTCCACACTTTAGTGGGTTATTTCTTTTCTGTCTCCCCAACTAGACTGAGTCTGGGGGGGGGGGGTCAGCATTTGCACCTCACCCTGTGTTCAGGGTTCAGGAGAGGCAGGCCAATCAGCCTTCAGCAGTCACACTGTACTGGATACATTAATGGGAGAAGTTTCTAGAAAACCCAGAGGGCCACACTGCATAACAAACTTATCAGGGAAACAGTCATCCAAAATATTTGGAAGGGTTTATAGTGATAAAACATATTCTTGTTAAGCATGATAAATACCCAAGAAAACATGTTTCTCCAATTTTTCATGCTGATCTCTCTAGCCAGCGCTTTGTTACATATTACTAATCTGTAGTTTGTGTCATGGGAAAATTCTTCCTCTTTAGTTTTCTAAATATACACTGAACTCATAATAATGGATAGGTTTAGCTGGGCACTGGTGGCTCATGCCTGCAATGCTACTTACTCAGGAGGCTGAGATCTGAGGATGGAGGTTCAAAACTAGCCTGGGGTGGAAAAGTCCATGAACCACCAAAAAGCCAAAAGTGGAGCTGTGGCTCAAGTGGTAGAGGGCTAGCCTTGAGCAAAAAAGCTAAGGACAGTGCACAGGCCCTGAGTTCAAGTCAAAACAAAAACAACAAAAAACATGCTTATTCAAACCCTGTATGTCCCTTAGATGTCCACTTCTCAATGTAGGGAAAACTAGAAAAGGCCTGAGCTCTGGCATACTTGCACAGGGCTAGGGCAGGTTAGAACCAAGTACAAAATTCATAAGTGAGGTTCTTGTTTGTGGGAAACTGATGCATAGGAAAATACTAGAAAGAAATAGATAATTTGAACTGGGCACCTGTGGCCCATGTCTGTCAGCCTAACTACTCAGGAGGCTGAGATCTGAGGATTGCGGTTCAAAGCCAGCCTGGGCAGGAAAATCCTGTAAGCCTCTTATCTCCAATGAACCACCAGAAAACTCGATGTGGCTCAAAATGGTAGAGTGCTCACCTTGAGCTGAAGAGCTCCGGGACAGCGCCCAGGCCCAGAGTTCAAGCCCCACGACTGACAAAAGAAAAAAAAAATTGAAAGTAGCTGGTTGTTGAGGAGAAACTTCTAGATTTCTGATGTTCTCGTTTTTTTTTTTTTGTTTGTTTGTTTGTTTTTCTTTTCTTCTGTTAGATGTATACTGGTTCTGAGATCAGAAAAAAAAAATCTCACTTTTCTGAAGTTTTCGAGCTGTGTTTGTGGGAGCCTCTTGGTGTAGTGAACTTTCCCAGCGCCTCTCCACCCAAAGTTGTCCTGCCAGACCAAGCCCTGGGGCGTTGGCCCGGCGGTGCCGGGGGGCCTCCACCCGCCCTGGCCCTGGCCACGTCCCTCAGCGCCTCCCGCCTGCTCCCATCGGGTCCTGCCAGCCTGGGCCTGGGCTCAGTGCGTGGCAAAGCTCGTGGCCTGCGTGGACGGCCCAGCTTCGCCCTTCTGAGCCATGTGACTTTGCATACATCATTTCCCTTCGTGATGCTGCAGCTGCACATGGAGTTACAGGGGTAGCTGGCTCCCCAGGCCTCTAACGGAGATTCCATACTCCATGCACATTGCCCAGCGCATGGCACCGATCTTGACACCAAGGCTCAGTTCCCAGAATGCCCAGAGTGCTGCCCCCCCCCCCCCCCAGAGCATCCTTTCCAGTGGGAGACGGAAACCCACGAAACTTCCTGCAGGAAACCAACAAGCTCCCCTCAGAGCCAGCATCCCGGCGCAGCGCTCCTGGCTCACGGCCTGTCAGCCTACCTACACAGGTGGCTGAGATGGGAGGATCCCGGTTCAAAGCCAGCCTGGACCAAGAAAGTCCGTAAGACTCTTTATGTCCAATTAACTAGCAAAAAATAAGAAGCAGGAAGTAGAGGGTGGCTCAGCTTAGCATTGAGCATAAAAGGGAATCAATTCGGGCAGAACAAATGGGGCCGCTTGGCATCAAGCACAGAGTAGGTCTTCAGGAGCTCTTGGTAGGACAGGCTGGTGGCTAGGGAGAGGAGGGCTCACCCCAGATTGATGGGTGCACAAAGGTCCTCCCACGGAGGCACCCCTAAGCTACTGGTCATCAGACTGAGCCCGCAAGCCCCTGCTCCCATCTCTGGCCTTGCCTGCTGTCTGCTGTGGGGCACCGGGGCCAAGCTGTGTGCGCAGAGCCAAAGCTTCAGCTTTGTTACCAGTTCTAGAGCCACTGTTATGGGGGCCAGGCTGTTCCCCCTCATGGCCAGCCGGCACCTGACGATACTGTCCTGATGGTGCAAACATCACCCCCCCTCCCCCCCAAAAAAAAACGTTATCTGAGGCCCGGTGAGGTTGTTTACTCCAGTAAGTGAAGATCAGGGATCACAGTACCAGCACCAAAGTTAGGGAGACTACATCTCAGTGGTGGGTATTGTGGTACAGGCCTGTGGTCCTAGCCAGGTAGGCGGCATAGCTTGTGTGTGTGTGGGGGGGCAGGGGGTGTCACAATGGAGGCTGGTCCCTAGCAAAAAAATTCAAAATGCTATTTGAAATATAAGAAAAAAAGCCAGGCGCCAGTGGCTCACACATGTCATGCTAGCTACTCAGGAGGCTGAGATCTGAGGATCACGGTTCAAAGCCAGCCTGGGCAGAAAAGACCATGAGACTCTGATCTCCAATGAACCACCAGAAAACCGGAAGTGGCGCTGTGGCTCAAGTGGTAGAGCGCTCACCTTGAGCTGAAGAGCTGAGGGACAGCACCAGGCTGAGATCAAGCCCCACCACCAACACATAAAAAAATAAGACTAGGAGTCATGACTCAAGTGGTGGAGCATCTGTTTAAGAAGTGCAAGGCCCTGAGTTGAAACCCAGGGTGCCCCCCCCCCCCCCCCGTACCCCATGCCCAAGGTGGTTTCCCAGTTGGATAAACAGCATCGTGCCAGGTCCTTGGAGGGCTGTGTTTTCTGCCTGCCTGGCACCCACTCCCCCGTGGATACCCACATCGAGTTTTCCGTTCCAGGTTCGGGCTTAGGTTGGCTGGAAGGCTACTGGTCCTGAGCCTTGGGGGGAAGCAGCCATGTTTCTGGGTGGGTCATGCTGGCAGGACTTGAGGCTGGAGCAGATGGTGACCTGTCCCTCACTCCCAGGGCACAGTATGGCCCAGGAGCCAGCCCATGAAGTCAGCAGCCAAGCAGCAGTGTGTGTGTGTGTGTGTGGGGGGGGCGTTGGACAGCTGCTCAGCAGTTGCTCCCCGAAATTCAGTGCACCACACACGATGCCCCCTTAACACTCTCCAAACAAGGCACCTCGGAGTTTCTGTCACTTGCGACCACAGACCTCTGCGAGCTGCGCGGGATCCACTGAGAAGAGGAAGGAAGCAAAGCCTCTAGCCTCTGACTGCGTCCAGGAATTTCCTTCCTTCCTTCCTTCCTTCCTCCCTTCCTCCCTTCTTCCCTCCCTTCCTTCCTTATTCCCTCCCTCCCTCCCTCCCTCTCTCCCTCCTTTCCTTTTTCCTTCCTTCCCCCTTTCTTTTCTCCTTCCTTCCTTTCCTCCCTCCCTCCCCTCAACTTCCTGTCCCCTTTCCCTTCTCCTTCCTTTCTTTCCTTTTTCCTCCCCCCCTCTTTCCCTTCCTTCCCCTCTTCATTTTTCTTCCCTCCTTCCCTCTCCTTTCTTTTGTCTTCCTCTTCCCCTTCCTTCCCTCACTCCTTTTTTCTTTCCTTCCTTCCCTCCCTTCCTTCTTTGCTTCCTTTCCTCCTCCCTCCCTCCCTCCCTTCCTTCTCTTTCTTTTCTCCTTCTATCCTTCTTCCTTTTCCCCTTCTCTTCTTCCCAGCAATGGAACCCCAAGCCTGCTGTCTATTCAGCAGGTGCTGTACTCCTGAGCCACACCCCCTCTCCTCCTCTTATTTTATTATAACCTCCCCATCCCATTTGTTTCCAAATCCTTATCTTGGGAGGAGCAGCAGAAAGAAAAATCGCCCCTCATCCTTCTACTCTGATGTAACCAAAGTCAACTTGCTTTTCCCTGTGAAGGAAACATGATCAAATCCCAGTTACATGTCAGGAACTTCTCATAGCTTTCTGAAAATAAGTTTATTATTCTGACTGTAAAATGTGTATGTGTGTGGGAAGGGTGACTCCAGGTTTGAAGCCACTCTAGGAAGAAAAGTCCGTGAGTTGGGTTTTCACAGCTGTCATCCTAGCTACTCAGGAAGCTGAGATCTGAGGATCACAGCCAGGGAAGGAAAGTTCATGAGACTTTTTTTTTTCTTCTTTTTTTCTTTTCTGGTCCCCGGGCTTGAACTCAGGGCCTGGGCGCTGTCCCTCAGCTCTTCAGCTCAAGGCGAGCGCTCTACCACTTGAGCCACAGCCCCACTGCTGACTTCTTCTGAGTAGTTTATTGGAGAGTCTCATAGACTTTGCTGCCTGGGCTGGCTTTTAACTGTGATCTCAACTTCCTGAGTAGCTAGGATGACAGGCGTGAGCCACCGGTGCTGGGCCAGCAAATTAGCGAAAAGAAGCCAAAAGGGGAACCGTGGCTCAAGTGGTAGAGTGCTAGCCTTGAGCAAAAGAAGCTCAGGGACAGCGTCTAGGCCCTGAGTTCAAGCCCCAGGACTGGTACCCCCCTCCCCGCCAAAAAAGATCATGAGCCAGGTATCTCCAATGAACCAGCAAAAAGCTGGAAGTAGAGCTGTGACTCGAATAAGAGCGCTACTAAGTCTTGAGTGAAAAAGTAAAGAGACAGTGGCCTGGCCCTAAAGACCAGGACCGGCACAGGGTGTGAGCGTGTGCATGCATGTGTGTGCATGTGCACACACACACACACACACACACAATGTCCAAGAAACCCTCCATCTTGGAGCATCCAATCTGCACAGTCTGACCTGCATGAGCCTAGGATCCACACACCTGTGCTGCCCCCTTGAAACGACTTCTTAGCTATTTTTCAATATGCTCGGCCCTGTGTGGCACCCCATTTTATACATAGCCTCTTTTAATCCTGCCACAAACCCTGTGATGGGAGCTAGCGTGAACTCATAGATGAAAAAAAAAAAATCGAAGGCACCGAGAGGTTCTGTCACCTGGCTAAAACCACACAGCAATTGGAAGTGAAAAGCCAGGTCTCTAGAGAAAGGTCTTGGTGTCTCCCAAGCCCTCAATGGCGCTGAGCCATGAGGAAATTTTTCTTTGGGGGACATGGGGGCAAAGAGAGCTTGGCTCTGGGAATCTTCTCTCAGGCCCAGTGGTAGGGCCGAAGGGCAAGGAGCCCAAGCCAGGCTTTCCCCTCAAGATCCAGGGCCAAGAAATCAGAAATGGTCCAAACATTCACAAACACAAACCATGGGGTCCATGATGGAATTTTACTCAGCAACGAAAAAGGAACAAACTACCGAAAAAGACGCGGCAAGCACGTGGATGAATCTCACCACGGTTAAGCGGAGGTGCGCCATGCACAGGTGCGCACACCCATGGCAGGATTCTCCTTGCACGAAGTTCAGTGACAGGTAAAAACAGCCTATGGCCCAAGATGAGAACGGCCCGTGCTGCATGCCCGTCGTGCCTGTACGATCTTAGTTATGCAGGAGGTTGAGATCGGAGGTTGGCCCCATTCCCCCATCTCCAGGGCGCATAGGGACCCCATCTGTCCCTTCCCGATCGGCCCAGTGTGCCCCTCCCCACGGCGGCGGTGGCGCGGCGCGCGCGCAAGACCCGATCTTCCCCTCCCTGGGGCGCAGGGGACCGGATCTGCCCCCTCCTGGGGACCCATGCTACCGGATCTGTCTCCTCCTGGGGCGCACAGGGCCCGATCTGCCCCTCCCAGGGGCGCACAGGACTCAATCTGCACCCCTCCCCACAAACCGGTGCACAGGGCCCGATCTGCCCCTCCCCAGGGCTCGCAGGACCCGACCTGCCCCTCCCCAGGACTCGCGGGACCCGATCTGCCCCTCCCTGGGGCACACAGTGCCTGATCTGCCCCTCCCCAGGATGCACACGACTCCATCCCCCTAGGTGCCTGTCTCCAGGGTGCACAGGGGCCGATCTGCCCTTCCCCAGGGCGCACAGGACTCAATCTGCACCCCCCCCCCCTTCCTCCCAACCCAGTGCACAGGGCCTGATCTGCCCCTCCCCGGGGCAAATGGGACCCGATCCGGACGCGCACAGGCCCCCGATCGCCCCCGGAGCCCCTTCCCGGGGCGGATGGGACCCGATCCGGACGCGCACAGGCCCCCGATCGCCCCCGGAGCCCCGCCCCGGGGTGGATGGGACCCGATCCGGACGCGCACAGGGCCCCGATCGCCCCCGGAGCCCCGCCCCGGGGCGCAGGGCCGCGGCCTACCGAGCAGCTGCACCTCGTCGGTGATGCCGTAGACGTCGATGAGCGCCCAGAGCGGGCCGCCCACGGCCACGCCGCAGTGGAAGAGCACCGGCTCGCCGTCGTTGACGCGGTAGAAGACGCGGCCGTGCCGGTCGGCCCAGTAGGCCAGCACCGTGTCGCGCAGCGCCAGGCTCTCGGGCAGCGCCTTGGCCCAGTAGCCGGGCCGGGTGACCAGGTCCGGGCAGGCGTACTTGGGGATGTCCTGCGCGCTCATGAGCGAGGGGTCGTGCGCCGTGAAGCCGAAGCGCAGCGCGCCGCTCCAGCCGGGCCGCACGGCCACCAGGCGCAGCCGCACCTGCTCGTACAGCCGGATCGGCCGCTGCGTGAACGTCACCCCCGTTGCAGAAGCTGTTGCGCCGCGTGGCTCGCCGCGAGTGGCCGTCCAGGCGCACGTTCTTGCCCTTGGCCTGCGCGTGGAAGCGCGGGGCTTCGCCCAGCACCGGGTGCCGCTGCGGCTGCTGCTCGAAGCCCGGGCCGCAGCACGGACGCGGGGTCAGGAGGCGCGTCGGGGGGCTGGAGTCTGTGGAGAGACGACAGCGAGGGGTCAGGGGAGGGTCCCCCCCACCCCAAGAAACAATCCAGCATCCACACATCAGCTTTTCTCTTACGGTCACTTTGTGCTCTTCGGCTGGTGCTCTACCACTTGGGCCACGGCTCCACTCCAGGCCTTTTAAATTTTTGCTAATTAATTGGACATCAGAGTCAAGCCAGACACTGGGTGGCTCAGGTCTGTCATCCCAGCTACTCAAGAGGCTGAGATCTGGGGACCCCAGTTCGAAGACAGCCCGGACAGGAAAGTCCGTGAGATTCGTATCTCCAATGAACCAGCAAACTTGAGAGCAAAGTGGAGGTGTGGCTCAAGTGGGAGAGCGCCAGCCTTGAGTGAAAAAGCTAAGGAACCGTGTCCTGAGGCCTGGATTTGAAGCCTCAGGGCCGGTGCACACGCACACGCATGCACACACACACACACACACACACGCACGCACACACACATCTCAGATTCGTTTGCTGAGCCTGGCTTCAAACCGCAATCCTCCTATCTCAGCCTCCCGAGCAGCTAGAATTACAAGGGTGAGCCACCAGCACCTGCCTCACAATTCTTCTTCTTACTGAAAATGCCATCTTAATCAGAAACCAGTTTATCAAGGATAACCTGTGGAAGCTTCCATGCTCCAGCCAAGGGGAGATTTCCCACCCCCTCCATCTCCTTGTCGCAGACGACTCTGTGTACCCATGTCTCAGGTTATGCAAACTGAGGCTTCACTTGGTGTACGTGTGTGTGAATGCCATGCGTGCACACTGGAGCTGTTCCTCTCTCCATAGCCAGCACTAGTGAGCTTATCAACGCTGTCCTGAGGTTCCCACGACTTCTGCATCTCCATCGGAGCTCTCCACATCTAGGAGCTTCCTTCTAGGGCAACAAGGACCCCTGGATTCTTGGGGAGGAGGGTGTTGGTGGAGGGGTGTGTGGCTGCTGTTCTCGGGGTCATGCTTGTTTTCCTTTTCCCTCTCTCCCTCCCTCCTTCCCTCCCTCCCTCCCTTCCTTTTTTGGCCAGTCCTGGGGTTTGAACTCAGGGCCTGGACTCTGTCCCTGAGCTTCTTCTGTCCCTGAGCCCCTTTTGCTTAAGGCTAGCACTCTACCACTTAGGCCACAGTGCCACTTCTGCCTTTTTCTATGTAAGTGGCACTGAAGATTCGAACCCAGGGCTTCATGAACGCGAGGCAAGCCACCTTCTCAGCCCTGGGTCATGCTTTCTCTTGGCGGGGGGGTGTCTCTCAGGTGAGCCAGGGGACCCTGTTTTGTGGCTCTTGCTGGTTGGCGGTGGTAGGTTTGGTTCCCTGGCCAGTACAGAGGGCGGTGCCAGATGATCACGTGGACGAAACGCTTAAACAGCATCACACGGTGTAGTTGGTCACTAACAATCTGGTGCTGTTATTCGCTGAGGGTCCAAAACACAGCCAGGCCAGGCCTCTGGGACTCCCCTCCCCTCCCCCAGCCAGAAACACAGGTCTTGGGCACCAGATGACTTTTCCAGAACCTTTCCCCCCCCCCCCGGGGGCTCATGTCTATGGAAAGGTCCCAGCAGTGGACGTAGCTGGGAGAGAGCGAGGAGAGGGGTGACACTGTCCAAAAAGAAACGCGCTGGTTCCCTGGCCTATGTCATGGAAACCCTGCTGCACATCACCTTTAGCCCAACAATCAAAAATTCACGAAAAACAGTGACACCAACGGAATAAAGTGACTTGATCACAGGTAACTGGACATGCGGGTGTCACGGAGGGGGAGGGCGTGGAGCTCACGCCTGTAATCCCGGCCACCCAGGAGGGGCGCCTCCTGGTTGCGAGCCCCCCCCTCCTCACCCCTGCCCATCCCGGGGTGCAGTTCTGGGGAGGTGTGGCGGGGGGGGGGGGGTTCACTGCCCACATCCGGGCTGCTAGAGCGCCTGAGCCCACTGTCATCGCAAGTTCCACCCCAGGACGGGGTGTGTATGTCCCCTTCCCTGCAGGGAATGGGGGCCACTGTGTGTGGGGGTCACCCTTCCTGTGACAGGCACTGGGGGCCCTGGGCACGGCAGGGATGGAGGGGACAGGCTGAGTAAACCCAGAGGCGCGCAGGAGTTCCGTCTGGGCATGCAAGCCACGCCCCCGGAAGACAAACCACTCAGAGACAAGCCACGCCCCCGGGAGACAAGCCACTCAGAGACAAGCCACGCCCCCGGGAGACAAACCACTCAGACAAGCCACGCCCCCGGGGGGGACAGGCAACACCCGACAAGCCACACCCCCGGAAGACAAACCACTCAGACAAGCCACACCCCCGGAAGACAAACCACTCAGACAAGCCACGCCCCCGGGAGACAAGCAACATCTGACAAGCCACGCCCCCGGAAGACAAACCACTCCGAGACAAGCCACACCCCTGGGAGACAAGCCACGCCCCAGAAGACAAGCCATGCCCCCGGAAGACAAACCACTCAGACAAGCCACGCCCCCGGGAGACAAACCACTCAGACAAGCCACACCCCCAGAAGACCAACCACTCCGATGGACAAGCCACGCCCCCACAGAAAAGCCACACCCCCAGAAGACAAGCCACGCCCCAGCAAACAACGCCCCGACAGGCAAGCTCTGCCTCCAGAAAACAAACCACACCTCAGACAGAGCCACGCCCCCGGCACACAAGCCACACCCCTACAGGCAAGCCACGCCCTCTCCTCCCAGGAACCTTTAAGAGGGCTTTTCCATCTCTGAGGAAGGCAATGTATGGGTGGAGGGGCCCAGAGATGCGCTTTAACTTCATCAGGAAGCACTGGGCCCTTGGAGGGTAGATTGTAACCCCTTGCACAACTCGTGAAGTTCAGAAAACATAATAATAATAATAACCCCAGAAGACACTGACCCACAAGACACAAAGCATCTCAAAGATCACAGCCCCGCCGGGCGCTGGCAGCTCACGCCTGGCATCCTAGCTTCTCAGGAGGCTGAGATCTGAGGATCTGGGTTCAAAGCCAACCCCGGGGTGGGAAAGCTGTGAGACTTTATCCTCAAAGAAGCACCAAAAAGCCGAGTGGAGTTGTGGCTCCAGTAGTAGAGTGCCAGCCTTGAGCACAAACGCTTAGGGACAGTGCCCCAGGCCTTGCTTTCAAGCCTCCAGGATTGGTACTAAAGAAAGTAAATAAAGAACAAGCCAGGTTTCCACAGTGGAAAAAGACCTCCGGGGACCTCAATCATTTAGTCACTTAACAAACATCCGATCACTGAGCAAAAATTAAGTGCAGCCAGCCAGGTTTAGTTTTTGCAGCTCAGGGAGATTCTGGCTTCTAAGCCAGGGTGAGCTGGGTTTCTTTTCTTTTGTCAGTCATGGGGCTTGAACTCTGGGCCTGGGCGCTGTCCCTCAGCTCTTCAGCTGAAGGTGAGCACTCTACCACTTGAGCTACAGTGCCATTTCTGGCTTTTTCAGAGTAGTTTATTGGAGACAAGAGTGTCATGGACTTACTTGCCTGGGCTGGCTTTGAATCATGATCCTCAGATCTCAGCCTCCTGAGTAGCTAGGATGACAGGCGGGAGCCACCAGCATCTGATTCTCTGGTCATTTCTACACATCAGAAACAGCCCAATCTCTGGCGGGGGGGACCCCCTCAGGTCCACCACAGCGGGCACACAGGGGCTGGGGTGGGTTAAGAGGCAGGACCCTGCTAGAGAGGAATTCCAGAAGGCAAGAACCCCATAAGTGGACTCCTATGTCCAAGCTGTGGGCAGAGGCGGCTGCGGCGGTGGGTGGAGGCTGGTGTGTCTGCAGCGTCACCTTGGAACAAGTTATGGCTTCTTCTGCTGCCCATAGGCCAAGGTCCCTGCCTCTAGCGTGGCCTCCAGGAAACATTAAACAGGCCCAGAGATCAAAGCCTCAGCTCCAAAGTACCACATAATTACCATTTTGTGTGTGTGTGTGTGTACTCGAACTTGAACTCAGAGCCTGAGTGCTGTCTCTTAGCTTTTTAATTTATTCTGGCTCAAGGATGATGTTCTACCACTTGAACCATACTCCTACTTCTGGCTTTTTTTTGGTGGTCCGTTGGAGAGAAGAGTCTCAAGAGATGCTCCTGCCTGGATTGTCTCCAAATGAGGATCCTCAGATCTCAGCCTCCCGAGTCGCTGGGATTCCAGGCGTCTGCACCATGACTTGTATCTCCCCTTCTGGTTAAAGGTGGCACCCCATCTCTCTCTGTCGGTCTCCTTACCCAGATTGTGGGTGCATGGTGGGTGGGGTGTAGGCAGATACCTGCTTACTCTAAGGGGAAGTTTCCTGCAAAATTGGCTGTAGGGAACTGTGGTGAAATTGGCATACTTGTTTAATCTCCATTCTATGATTTGATTTCCTTCAGGAAGTCAGGGTTGGGGGGGGGGGAAATAAGCCATTATTTCTCCCGGCTGTGGGTTAGAGTCCTGGTGGAAGCTGCTGGAAGATCAAAGATCAGCCAGTGGTTCTGGCGTGTCATCCTAGCTACTCAGGAGGCTGAGATCTGAAGATCGAGGTTCAAAGTCAGCTCAGGCAGAAAAGTCGGTGAGACTCTGATCTCCAAGGAAACACCAGAAAACCGGAACTGGCGCTGTGGCTCAAGTGGTAGAGCGCTCGCCTTGAGCTGAAGAGCTGAGAGACAGCGCCCAGGCCCAGAGTTCAAGCCCCATGCCTGTGGGGGTGGGGATGGGGGTGGGTGGGGAGATTTACTGCGGGGAGAGAGGTGTGCCAGTGACCCTGGCTTCTGCCAGCAGCTTTTCCTCTGTATCCAAGGACAGAGACCTATTTTTAAGCCATTCTAACAGACGGGTACTGTGCCCCCCCCATCTCTTCCTTTGATCTGAAAAGGGCTGGAAAAAGTGACATTTCCTGCCAGGTGTGCAGGGCCACCAACCATGGCGCTTTGGCTCTGGTCTGCAGCCCGTGGGGGGAAGGGTCTGGCCTCTCTCCCCCGCCCCTCCCTCCAATAGCCACAGGCTACCACCTGCTGGCATCTGGCAGAG